ACAAGGATCCTCATGATGTTACCTAAAAAGTGTCCTACACTGCAATACAGTCCTCACCACAATGCTCAGAATTAGCTGCTGCTATCTTGGCTTTTCACACCTTTTCTCAACAGTCTTTTAACTTACTCTCTGACTTTCATTATGTGTGCCAACTTATTTTTAATCTTCCAGGTGCTTACATCACGCCCAGGATTGACCCAAATCTTATGACTTTGTTTTTCCCATGACACCAGCTGCTACAAAACTGAAAGCATTTATATTTTATTTCTCATATACACAGTCACTCCTCCCTTCCTGGGCCAAATTTTTTTTTATGTCTTCCTAATCCCCATGTTTTTGCCTCTAATCAACTATGGCAAATGGATGTTACCCATGTTCCCTCTTTGGCTTCCTGGAAATGTATTCATTGATCTATTGATACCTATTCAGGAACAATTTGGGCCACTCCTTAACGAGGAGAAACAGTTGCACATGTTGTTTTTCATCTTTTTTCGGCCATTACAGCCTTAGGAAAGCCCTCTTCTTTAAAAACTGATAATGGGCCAGCCTATTCTTCAGTGGCCTTTTTGAAATTTTGCACAACCTGGAATATTGTTTTTACTCATGGCCTTCCCTATAATTCCACGGGTCAAGCCATCGTGGAATGTGCTAATCGGTTCTTTAAGGACTGCCTTCACAAACAAATAAAAAAGGACGGATCTAGAGTCCCCAATTTGTCATGGGTAACACAACAGATTAAAAAAGTATTATTTACATTACACCAATTTAATATTTCCATTCAAAATTTGACTGCTTATCAGAGACACTTTCAACAGAAAACAAGCTTGCCTCCCCCTCTGGTATATTATCAGGCTTTACCTGACAAAACATGGTTGGGACCGGTCCCTCTGATCACTTGGGGCGGGGCTATGCCGCTGTGTTTACTCCCACAGGACCTTTGTGGATTCCAGCACGTTGTGTTTGCCCGGCCAAGGATGTCGTGGCACCAGTCCCTGGATCCAGCCCCAAAAATGGCCAAGATGACTCTACAGATGGCACAGCGACCAATCCGATCCCGACATGCCAGTCGGCCAGTGACATGGGGAGATGTGAAGAACTTGACCGCCAAAGCACAGGCAATGTTGCAGTAGCAACAAGTAGAGCAAACCCCAGAGAACCTTTGCGCTGCCATTTTTGCGGTTTTAACTGCAAATTCCTTAGCCATCATTTGTTTGTGTCTAATCGTTAACATCTGCCCTTAGACAACAGCAACTGTCATCCCACCCAAACAATCATTCGAGCAACGAATGAAGCACAATCTATGGGTGCAGCTGGCTAACATCACACACAATGATGTATTTTGCTTATCTGAAGCATATGACATGGAAAATTTGCTTTCTACATGTTTAGTCCGTTTGCACCCCTTCTGCAGTAATTCAAAACTTTACTGGCTTGAGCAGAATTTTATTCAATGGGAACTTTAACTATAAAGCTATATCTAGCTGGGGGGTTACTGCTTACTATCCACCCCAACGCTATTGCTTTGCACACCCCGGTGGTAGCTATCTCTGCAAATATAACATGTGCAAAAATAGTTAATTGTACTTCTTCAAGTAAAAAACCTCACTGTCATCGCATTAGCTCACCTGTTTTAAACTGCACAGCTTTTGAAGAGACTTCCTTTCATTTTGGACATGTTTGGCTACTGCAAAGATGGTTTTTTACATGTGGTCAAGAAACTTTTAACTATTCCTGCTAATATTAGTGAAGCGCAATGTTGCCTCAGCCGGCTGATTCCTGTTTTGCTTTCCAAACAACAAGTTCACTTCAGCCGTTCTCGACGTGGGGTCATGCTAGACAGCACTTGTGACTCTGAGACAGCCTTACTTAATAAAGCAGAATATGTAGCATTGGCTATATCTCTAGTAGGTGTACCAGGACTTGCTGTTCGTGCTCACCTCAACATTAATGCTATTGCATGCAATTTAGCAAAAACAATTAATGCTACTTCTTCAGCTATTTCAGCAATCAACCATGAACTATAAGATTTGAGAAAGGCTATTTTGCAAAATCGTGCTGCAATTGATTATTTGCTTCTGCGCCAGCATTTGGGTTGTGAAAGTTTTGAGGGAATGTGTTGTTTCAATATTTCTGATAATTCACGAACTATTCAGCACCAAATTGATATTTTACACAATTTGGCCTCTGATTTGAAAATGGATACTTTAGGATCTTGGCGGGAAAGCCTTTGGGCTTGGTTGCCCACAGGATTACTGGGAAATATTCTACGTTATTCGGTCATAACTTGTGCTATTTTGGTTGGTGGATGCTGTTTTATGCAATGTATTCCTTCATTTTGCAATATATGTATCAGAGCTTTTAACTCCAAATCCTCTCTCACATTGCCTCAGGGTCAAGTTTTGGCCCTGTATAAACAACTGCAAGGATACTCCTCTCCTGATTATAATCCTTTTATTAACCCCTCTTATGACGATATTTCATCTAACAAAACAAAAAAGAGTGAGATGTAAAGGGGCCCCCCGGATGGAGGCAGTGAGCAGAACGCTGCCCTTCTGACGCCTGTGTGCCTTCTCTCTCTCCTTATTTCTTTTTCTCTGCATTACCATGGCAATGTGGGAAACTACCAGGCTAATGCAATGACCTTGCCTGCCTAATATCAGCTAGCCTACAACAACAGGATGCTACAGCCAATTGCCCCTGTTTTGGGCCTCTGGCTTTCTATCCTTAAGCATTGGTATGGAGTTTAACCAATGAAATGCTATTGCTATGCTAATGCCATGTTAAACTTTTCCTGCCTGTAAAACTCTATATAAGAATAAAAGCTGCGACGTTGAGCAGCCATATTTACAGCCTGCAATGACTGAGCACTGATTACTACAAAAATGCATAAAAATATTTCTATTTATATCCCGCTTTATTATATATACAAGTACTTCAAGTCAGCAAACATAGAACAAACATAGCAAAAATAGAGAGCCAAGCTCCTTTTCTTTGGCTCAGCAATTCCCCTCAACTCCGTTAAAGGAAACAACTGTACTGGGCAAGAGAAAGGAAGCTCAGATCTCCTCCCTCATTTTTGATAGTAAGATATGTTTGATTAAAAAGAATAAGGCAAAAAATTAAATGCTTAGTTTCTCAGCTCAGCTTTCAATGAGTGACGAGAAATGAAGTTCAAGATACCTCTACAGAGATCAAATTTCGCCTCATGTGGAATTTCTTGTGTTTGACAAGGGAGGAATTCCGTGTGAAACACTTTCCGCAATCTGGGCATTTGAATGGTTTCTCCCCTGTGTGTAACCTTACATGATTGATAAGGCTAGACCTACTACTGAAATCTTTCCCACAATCCGGACACTCATACGGCTTCTCTCCTGTGTGAGTCCTCCAGTGTATCACCAAACTGGAATTCCTTACGAAACGTTTCCCACACTCAAGACACTCATATGGTTTCTCTCCTGTGTGAGTCCTCTGGTGTATCACAAGGTACGAATTTCGAATGAAACTTTTCCCACAAAACAGACACTTATATGGTTTGTCTCTTGTGTGAGTCCTCTGGTGTTTCACCAGGTACGAATTCCGAATGAAACTTTTTCCACAATCCAGACAGTCATATGGTTTTTCTCCTGTGTGAGTCCTCTGGTGTATAATGAAGTCCAGATTTTGAATAAAACTTTTCCCACATTCCAGACACTCATATCTGTTTTCTCCTGTGTGAGTCCTCTGGTGTTTCACCAGGTAGGAATTCTGACTGAAATTTTCCCCACAATATGAACACTGATATGGTTTTTCTCCTGTGTGAGTTCTCTGGTGTATCATCAGGTTAGAATTCTGACTGAAACTTTTCCCACAATACAGACAGTCATATGGTTTCTCTCCCGTGTGAGTTCTCTGGTGTATCACCAGCTTGGAATTCCGAGTGAAACGTTTCCCACAATCTGGACATTCATATACTTTCTCTCCTCTGTGAGTCTTCTGGTGTATCATCAAGTCGCACTTTCGAATGAAAGTTTTTCTACATTCCAGACACTCATATGGGATTTCTCCTGTGTTAGTCTTCTGGTGTTGCACCAGGTACGAATTCCGAATGAAACGTTTCCCACAAAACAGACACTCATACGGTTTTTCTCCTGTGTGAATTCTCTGGTGTACCACCAGGTTGAAATTCCGAGAGAAACCTTTCCCACAATCACGACACTTATATGGTTTCTCTCCTGTGTGAGTCCTTTGGTGAGTCACCAGGAGAGAATTCTGCTTGAAACTTTTCTCAC